TTGCCTGAATACCACTAGGACCTGGTTGTGGTTCAGTGCTTGTTTGTCTCACTACAAATTTGTCAAGAGACATTTGTTTTTCCCTTCGTTTTAACATTTGTCTGTAATGATGCAACACTTTAGCACCCATAATGTCCTTTTTCTTAGCCAGTATGGTGGATATCATTGACTGAGATTTGTTGTACTTCCTAGCCAGTCCAACAACCCGCACACCATCTTCATATTTACGAATGATCTCTTGTTTCTGCTCTATGGTCATCCTGACATGGATCTCATATGTTGAGCCTTACCACTGACTTTCCTGGGACTCATGGCGTGATATATAATAATTACTTTGATATTCAAAATGCAAAAAATCACCACAAAAGCGAAATTTCTTATAGGCGCGATCGTCACTAAGCGGGCAGCTGTAGTAAACTGAGGCAGGTCGGCCGCGTGACCGGGAACCGCGCGCTCGGTCGACCCGAACGTGTACCAACAAATATCGTAAGTTGACGACACCATATGATGTCGAGTTGCATTTTTCGATGAAATTTACATCGTAACTCGAAATTATCATAAGTAGGGGCAATCGTAAGTCGAGGTGCCACTGTATATGGCAGCCTGGCACACGGGTTGCCATGCACCATTTGCATCATCGTGAATGAAGAAGCATATTCTATGGAAAACAAGTGCTATAAGTACATCAAATCTGTATATCTTGTCTTAATGTGTAATTACCTAAGTGTAGTTACAGGATGAGAGCTACGCTCGTGGTGTCCCATCTTCCCAGCACTCTTTGTCATATAACGCTTTGAAACTACTGACGGTCTTGGCCTCCACCACCTTCTCCCCTAACTTGTTCCAACCGTCTACCACTCTGTTTGCGAAAGTGAATTTTCTTATATTTCTTCGGCATCTGTGTTTAGCTAGTTTATATCTATGACCTCTTGTTCTTAAAGTTCCAGGTCTCAGGAAATCTTCCCTATCAATTTTATTAATTCCTGTTACTATTTTGTATGTAGTGATCACATCACCTTTTTCTTCTGTCTTCTAGTTTTGGCATATTTAATGCCTCTAACCTCTCCTCAGCCCTTCAGTTCTGGGAGCCACTTAGTAGCATGTCTTTGCACCTTTTCCAGTTTGTTGATGTGCTTCTTAAGATATGGGCACCACACAACTGCTGCATATTCTAGCTTTGGCCTAACAAAAGTCGTGAACAATTTCTTTAGTATATCGCCATCCGTGTATTTAAAAGCAATTCTGAAGTTAGAAAGCGTGGCATAGGCTCCTTGCACAATATTCTTTATGTGGTCCTCAGGTGATAGTTTTCTATCTAGAACCATTCCTAGATCTCTTTCTTTATCAGAATTCTTTAAAGATTTCTCACATAATATATAGGTTGTGTGGGGTCTATGTTCTCCTATTCCACATTTCATAACATGGCATTTATTAACATTAAATTCCATTTGCCAAGTGGCGCTCCATGTACTTATTTTGTCCAGGTCTTCTTGAAGGGCATGACAATCATAAAAGTTTATTATCCTTCCTATTATCTTAGCATCATCAGCAAACATGTTCATATAAGTCTGTATTCTTGTAGGTCATTTATGTAGACAATGAACATTACTGGTGCAGAACTGAACCCTGCAGTACTCCACTTGTGACATTTCTCCAGTCCGACACATTGCCTCCGATTGCTGGCCTCATTTTCCTATCAGAAAATTTTTCATCCATATTAGAAGCCTCCCTGTCACTCCAGTATGTTCCAGTTTTCAGAACAACCTCTTCTATGGAACTCTGTTGAAAGACTTTTTTAGGTCCAGATAAATGCAGTCAACCCAACCATCTCTTTCCTGTAAAATCTCTGGCTCTATCATAGAAACTAAGTACCGGTAAGTTCATTACACAGGAACTTCCAGATCAAAATCCATATTCTGTGTATTCTATAATTTTTCTCCAGGTGTTCTACCCATTTAGTTATAAATATTTTTTCCAATATTCTGACTTACGCTTTTCAATGATACAGATTTATAATCGAGGGGGGTCTTCCCTGCTACCACTTTTGTAGATTGGAATTATGTTAGCCATTTTCCACATACTTTATCTTCTAGGACTCCTGTACACAGTGATGCTTTATAAATCCATTGAAGTGGAATGCCGAGCTCAGGTGCATATTCTCTCATAACCCAAGGCTGTGTAGATTATATGAAGCAGAGTAATAATGATGTCATTGGTACTCTTATTTTGGAAATGGAACCCAAACTGGCAGAGACTTATTATGTTTAATTTTACGACAGAGAAGTAAAGCTGTTTGTAAATAATTTTTCAAATATTTTTTATACTGTAGTACCAGGAGTTCCTGGCTCTAGTCTGAGGAACTGTTTGCAAACTTCCTCCTGTAAGAGCTGTAAACAGGCCTCATATGTTCTGCTGACTTGGATCACAAGGGTCACAGGAAAAGAAACTGCACTCACTCGAGGAACAGGCACATCAGAGGCTCTCTACCTTGGGAGAGAGGAAGAGTTGGCATTCAGTAGTCAGGTGTTCAGTAGAGTCTAAACACATGGTTCAACTGATAGATGTACAGTACAGTGGAACCTCGGGATACAAACGTCACTCTTTACAAATTTTTTTGGGTCATGAGCTCAATTTCTTCGTAAAATTTGAATTGGGTTACGTAGTTTGTTGATACATCTATGGGTTAACCGAGCTCATGGTTCATGGTGGCACGGGCGACCACACTTCCAGTTTACCAGTACCTCCCGCCTAGTGATGATTGTGCTTGAATTCTTTGTAAAGCATTTCATTGTTTTTAGCTTTTTTGTTTTTTAAACAAAAGTAATTACTGTATTATATGGGCCCCAAGAAAATCAGGGGTAAGGTTCAACCTAAGAAAACACATGTAAGGATGATCATAGAGGAAAAACAAGAGATAACTTGTAAACATGAAAATGGAACACGGGTTTTTGAACTAGCTAGGCAGTACAACAAATCTATGTCAATGATATGCACTGTACTTGCTAAGATATGAGTGCTAAAGTGGCAAAAGTTATTATTAATTTGGATGCATAACAAGGAGTTAGCTGGTGATAGCGTCTCAGAGGGCTACCACCCGCTATCATGCAAGGCTATTGCATGAAGATCTTATAAAGAAAACCTCTGGAACGAGTTATGTAGATACAACAAAGTTTAACGTAAGCAGGGGATGGTTTGAGAAATTTAGTAAAAGTAGCAGCATTCATAATGTTGAGAGGCATGGGGAGGCTGCCAGCTCAGACAAACCAGCGGCTGAAAGATTTGTTGGCAAATTTAAAGATTTTGTAGATAGTGAGGGATACCTACCACAACAAGCATTTAATTGTGATGAGATAGGGCTATTCTGGAAAAGAATTCTAGAATTACCCAGGAGGAGAAGTCATTGCCCAGACACAAGCCTATAATAGATAGGCTGACTTTTGTTCTGTGTGGTAATGCAAGTGGGGATTTGAAAATTAAACCCTTGCTTGTGTATCATTCCAAAAATCCAAGGGTTTTCAAAAAATATAATGTGCAGAAAAGCCAAATGTATGTGATGTGGAGGGCTAATAGTAAGGAATGGGTGACAAGGTAATTTTTTACCGAGTGGGTGAATGAAGTGGTTTGCCCTGCCATCAAAAAAATCTGTAGAACAGTTTGCCACTCTAAGGCCCTGCTTCTCCTCGACAATGCTCAGGCTACTATTCAAGGCCCAATTTGCCTAATAAGCCAAGTTTTCATGAATTAATTGTTTTTCGGCTACCTAACCTACCTAACCTAACCTAACCTAACTTTTTCGGCTACCTAACCAAACCTAACCTATAAAGATAGGTTACGTTAGGTTAGGTAGGGTTGGTTAGGTTCGGTCATATATCTACGTTAATTGTAACTCCAATAAAACAAAATTGACCTCATACATAATGAAATAGGTAGCTTTATCATTTCATAAGAAAAAAATTAGAGAAAATATATTAATTCAGGAAAACTTGGCTTATTAGGCAAATCGGGCCTTGCATATTAGGCCGAGAAGTGCATTCTGGCTATTAGGTACGACATATATATATATATATATATATATATATATATATATATATATATATATATATATATATATATATATATATATATATATATATATATATATATATATATATATATATATATATATATATATATATATATATATATATATATATATATATATATATATATATATATATATATATATATATATATATATATATATATATATATATATATATATATATATATATATATATATATATATATATATATATATATATATATATATATATATATATATATATATATATATATATATATATATATATATATATATATATATATATATATATATATATATATATATATATATATATATATATATATATATATATATATATATATATATATATATATATATATATATATATATATATATATATATATATATATATATATATATATATATATATATATATATATATATATATATATTGTGTGTGTATGTTGTACCTAATATGCAAAGTTGCCTAACAGGCTGAATTTTTCTGACATCTAATATTTTCTGCAATATTTGTATCATGGAATGATAAAACTTTCCATTATATTATATTTGATTTAAAAAAAAAGGTTAATTTTAATTATAACTACCAGTTACATAGAAAGTTGATAAAACCTAACCTATCGTAAACCTAACTTAACATACTAAGTCATGTTCTTAATATAATAATATTAAATGGAATAAACCAATTTGGAAAGAAATATTGGAAACTAATAAAAATCACTGCTTGTTAGGCAAATTGGGCCTTGCATACTAGGCCAAGTACTGTAATGCAGTTCTGGCTATTAGGTACAACATTATTATATATAACTTTTCCTTTTTAGGGTCACTACTCAAAAAACTATCTAGCAAACAATAAATATTAAGCAAATTGAGATTAAACACAAGGTACATCAACAAACTAAGAAGCACTCAGTACCTTAGACGGAAGTGTAGGAAATGCGCAAACCTTTTTCTGCAAGGGCTGTACAAGCACTCGTCAGAAGAGGACATGGAGAGCGCAGCACAGTGTAGCAGAAGCGGTAAAGGAAAAAGAGCAAGAGATGATGCAATGTTAGTCAAGCAGTGATGTGTATGAAGCCTGTTTATTCCAGCCAGAGTATGTTGCAGCAGATGTTCTACTCTTGTTGCCTCTTATAGCAAAAATATTACTGTTTTGATCATATAAGGTTACATAGCAACTTGGGCACATTACACACATTTCTTATGAAAAAGGCAGCCTTGCATCTTGAATAGTTCACAAGCAAAATGAATCTCCAGCAAAATAAAATGAGGTATAAAGCTGGGTGCAAAGATAAATGAATGTAAACAGGATTATATTTTGAAAACATTAGAGGTAATAAAGGTTAATTTAAGAAATCTGCTTTTAACTTGCATGATCATGAAAAATAAAGCCAAATTAACAAGGATGGCAAGCAACATTTTGGCAAAAAGTCTGATTTCATCACAAATCCAAGTAACTAAAATTGACGTACTGTATATGACACAAATTGTGCAATATAAACGCTGTACATGTTTTGTTGTGTGCACATCGGACATGTAAGATCAAATCTGTGAAGGCTCAGTGAGCAAGAGATACATAAAGCCAAGCCATAACAACTTGAGAACAGCAGACAAGTACACTGTGCCAACTACAAAACCATAAGGTTAAAATGAGCAGTTGCAATAACTCAAGTACAACATTTTGTACATAATGCCTCAAGTCACTTGTGTTTTCATGTGTTTTACAGCAACAATATGCAATGATGATGTGTGCTTTTATGCTGCATAAAATTACCCCAAGATCACTGGTTGGTCAGGTCTGGGCTGTGCAGTGCTGTGGTGATTTAGAGCTAGAAACAGGTTTTCTTAACAGCTAGTAAATCAAAATTACAATTTAAGTATTGTGTGCATCTCATGTAGATCACAGTAAAACCTAAATGTAATATAATTAATTACTCATGACTTCAAATGTCCAGGATATGTGCTATTTTTATCTCATTATTTTTCTATAAAATAAATTTCTATCAAATCTTACTTTCTGAAGAAAGGAAATAATATTCCCATTTAACAACAATTACTGTAATTAAATTCTTGAAATTAACTGTGTATCACCTATAATATTATACACTGAACATATGTTCATATCTCATCTCTATAATACTTAAATATAAAAATGAAATGATCAACTGGAACTGTGTTGTGCCACAGGTGTCACCAGTTGTTGACATATGATACTGATGACACATTACAAATACAGTATTACCTGAAGTAGAGTACTGTACAGTACTATAATCCTGGCACAAGAAATATAAAAGGTTGTTTCAATGGATTATGCATTATTTCTCTCTAATGTTTACAGGATTTGATATTTATTAATAATCATGAATGGGCCCTTTTTCAATCACTCATTATATCTCTTAATTATTTCTCAAAAACCTCTTTCATAGCACTTGCATGTTATCTTTTGCCACTACTGCAACCCTGCACTTTTGTGAGTTACAGTATATCACACAAACACTTCCTTACAGCATTTTATATTATCACTCCCTTAACATCTGTACTGCACTCACCCAGATATCTCAGTTAACAGGTAATTACCTAAGTTTAGTTACAGGATGTCAGCTATGCTTGTGGTGTCCCATCTGCCCAGTACTCTTTGTTATATAACGCTTTGAGATTACTGACAGTTTTGGCCTCCACCACCACCTCACTTAACTTGTTCCAACTGTCTTACCACTCTGTTTGAAAAAGTGAATTTTCTCATATTCCTTCAGCAGCTTTGTTTAGTTAATTTAAATTTATGACCTCTTGTTCTTGAAGTTCCAGGTCTCAGGAATTCTTCCCTGTCAATTTTATCGATTTCCATTACTATTTCGTACGTAGTGATCATATCACCTCCTTTTCTTCTATCTTCTAGTTTTGGCATATTTAATGCCTCTAACCCCTTCTCGTAGCTCTTGTCCTTCAGTTCTGGGGGGTCACTTAGTGGCATGTCTTTGCACCTTTTTCAGTTTGTTGATGTGCTTCTTAAGATATGGGCCCCATACAACCGCTGCATATTCCAACTTTAGTCTAACAAAAGTTGTGAACAATTTCATTAGTATTGTGCTATCCATGTATTTAAAAGCAATTCTGAAGTTAGAAAGTGTAGCATAGACTCCTCGCACAATGTCCTTTATGAGGTCCTCAGGTGATAGTTTTATATCTAGAACCACCCCTAGATCTCTTTCTTTTTCAGAATTCTTTAAAGATTTCTCGCATAATTTCTCACATAAGGTGAAAAATTTCCTAATGTGACTGTTTTCTGCTCCTTTCAATCAAGGCATGTTTACATAAAAATCTGCCACGTTTTCATTGAAAACAAGGATTTCCTTGCCAACCAGGAAAAAGGAGAAACTTGGGACCATGTACTGAAGCCAGAAAGTGGAGGACAACTGCCACACAATAGAATTTTCATCCAGCTCAGACACATGGTCCTGGTTGTGCAGCAGGAACTGAAGCAAGTTCAAAGAAGTGCAACCCTGGTTGCACAATGGGTGATCTAGGCTGCTATCTGGTCCGTATCTTACACTTTAGGGCTAGGGTGTTTATCTAGCACAATGATTGTTTTCCTTGTTTTTCTAAGGATTACTAATTTCATTTCAAGCAGTTGCTTGTTTTGATGTGCTTATACTCTGTTTTTTGTCCATGGTTTTGGGTTGATCTCTGACCCCAAAGCTCCCCTCAGTAGGCTCGAGAAGTTCTCAAGAGGCCTGGTGAAATTTTCTAAGGCTTGGTAGCCACACTGATATAATTTGTGAAGCTTCTCAGGAGGGGTCTCCTAGAACTCATCTCAAAACTAAATCAACTTTCATACCAGGAAGGTCAACGACCTGAGGAACTAACAACTCTGCAAACCATACAAACTCTGGCTGATCTAATTGAGATCTTTGAAATACTGAACAAATTAGAAGACATTAATCCAGAACACTCCTTTAAATGGCCCAAGGGGCAACAGCTTAAAAGCTTTCTCAACAAGGCACAATGTAGTGCAGACAACAGAAAATAGAATAGCCTACCCAATGAACCTGCAAACACCAGGTCAATGAGTCTGTTCAGACAGCAGCTCGTGCCGGCTGTGACGTCATGCTTGTTGGCTCGTTTTTAGTTTGGGGAGTTCTGTCAAACAGTTCGGCTTTCAGTAGCAATTTTTAACCAGATAGGGTTTCTTTTGGGGTGCCTACCTTTCTGGATGTAGCAATTTTTGGTTGATGGCTGGTTGATGGCCAAGACATAGAATGCTTCCAACCACACAGGGTTGGGCCATTGCTCCTCGTGTCTCTCGGAGGGGGCCAGTTTCTGGTTTGTGTTATTCGTGTGGACTCGTGTGAACTCCATTCACTTGACTGATACCAGAGGTCTAATACATTCATATCAGCCCAGATAGCTCCGAGAAGCTGAAGGGGCTCCCCCCAGGAAAGAGCAAATTTAAAAAAATACAGATCTGATCCAGAGCAGTATAATCCTGATACGTATTGGCAGTGCCACTGTACTGATATTTAAGAACGAGTCAGACTGGAAGCCCTAAACTACAGCAGGTTTCTCTAACATGCATTTCCTGTAAAGCATTGGAGAAAATAATCAAAGGGAATAGTGCAGCATCTGAATTAAATAAAATATGTATAAATAAAAATAAATAATAATAAACTTTGTAATGGATTAGCAACATGGATTTAGACAGTGACAAGTCATGCCTGAAATACCTGATAGTTCTATAACAAGATCATGGAGAGAGGGCCAAGTAGACAGCAGTTTCCTAGACAACCAAGAACCCATTGATATGACTATCTCACAAATGACTACTTTTAGTGAATAAGACAAAAGAAGCATGTGGCCTAACTGGAAAGTTTCTGAACTGGGTAAGGATCTTCCTGACATACTCACCTAGTTGTACTTAATTAGTTTTGCTTGTGGGGTGGTTGAGTTTTGGCTCTTTGGTCCCGCCTCTCAACTGTAATAGTGATTGCTGGAGAGAAAATGCTAGAACAGAGCGAAGTAACAGAGGAAGTTCCTCAAAGGTTTGGACCTCTGCTGCTGTTTTTGATCAATGTAATGGCCTACTGAAAGGGGCAAGTTCCTACATGCCAATGGTTGGGGAGAATGCAAAGTTAGCCAGGTTAGGAATAGACGGATCATAGGCAACTGCACACAAACTAAAACAAAACCTACAGAAGCTGGGAGACAAATAGCTGCTAGAGTATAACAATGATACTAGGGAGGAGGAAATGATGAGCAGATCACTGCAGCATAAGAAAGGTTACAAGAATCATAATAATCAGAAAGAAAAATATTTTTATCATACAAACTGGTTAACATTGGCAGTGTATACATAATTAGCAAGCATACATACCGTACAACTGTTGAAACAATACATAGCCTATGTCAAACCAGTTGAACCACTGGCATGGAACTTTTCCCTTGTGAAGTACAAGAAGCTTGAGAAAGACCAGAGGTATGAAACAAAGTAGGTGTAAAGTAACGGAACTAAGTTATGCAGACAGGTACATAAACTCAGACTAACAACCCTAGCAAAGGACTGGAGGAGGCAAGGTCACAATGCACAACACAATGAGCACAATAGGCAGAGATGTCACAAACTCTTCCAGCTAAGGGATAACACAAAGAGAGGAAACAGGTGGGAAGTTATAAATGCATATAACTCTAGAGATTTAAGAAATTGCAGTACTCACATGCATTGCAGGTGGTAAACCAGTGGAATTCACTGGGAGAAGTTGTGGATGTCGCCTCCATCCAAAGCAAGTACGATAAGAGAGCTAGAATGTCGAGAGATATAGAAGTACTAGGTATCAATAGCAAGGAAATGAGGCAACAAAGCCAGATCTCACTCCCTATAGACAGTGATAGGCAAGTAGAAAACGTTTTATGCTAACGTTCTCCAATACTCCTCACAGCACTAGTTTATGCTACTTTTTGCTACACAATCCTTAACAGCCCTTTATATATAGAGTATTATCTTTCTGTTTTTCAGTCTTAAGACATTTTTATGCTTTCTCAAACACATACACACATACATACACAGAAGACTCAATAAATTATAGACCGGTGTCATTAACAAGCATGGTAGTCAAAACACTAAAAAAAAAAATAAAAAAAAATAGGTAGAACACCCAGAGTAATGACATAATACCAGACAGTCACTATGATTTTCAAACAGGAAGATCCTGTGTAACAAACCTACTTACATTGTATGATTCTACAGGTTCTACAGGAGCCACAGATCTTACAGGAAGAGATGGTAGTGTTGACTGTGTCTATCTGGACCTAAAAAAAAGGCCTTGACAGAGTCTCACACAAGAGACTGTTTTGGAAACTAGAACATGCTGGAGGGGTGACAGAAAGACTTGGAATATAAATGAAAAATTTTCTAACTGCCAGAAAGATGATGGCAGTAATCAAAGGCAATGTATCAGACTGGAGAAGTGATACTAGTGGAATACCACAGGGTTCAGTTCTTGCACCAGTAATGTTCATCATCTATCTAAACGATCTACCAGAAGAAATGCAGAATTATATGAATATGTTTGCTGATGATACTAAGCTACTAAGGAAGATAAGATACTTAGACAAGTGTCATGCCCATGAAAAATGACCTAGACAAAATAAGCGTCTAGAGCATCGTGGCAACTGGAATTCAGTGTGAATAAACACCATATCATTTAATGTGGAATATGAAAAAATAGGCCTCACACAACCTACAAATTATATGAAAAGGCTTTAAAGAACTGATAACAAAAGAGATGGTTCTGATAGGAGATTGTCACTTAAGGAGCACATAAAAAACAATGTGCGAGGAGCTTATGTTGCGCTTTCCAACTTCAGAATCAATTTTATACACATGGATGGTGAAATACTAAAACTGTTCACAGCTTTAGTGAGACAAAAATTGGAATATACAGCAGTTGTATGGTACCCATATCTCATGATGTGCATCAACAAACTAGAAAAACTGCAAAGACATACAACTAAATTGCTTCTGGAACTGAAAAAAAAAAGCTGTGAAGAAGGGGTTGGAGTTTTTTTTTTTTTTTTGCAGGGATATTTCTGCACGGGCCCTAAGCCTCTGGCTGGCCCACTAAGTGTTGCTTGTTTCTGTTTTACTTGGGCGGAGTATGAGTATTTATGACTCGTATGGTCGCTTCAGTAAGATTTTGCCATATGTATTTAACAACTTCTTCTGCACTGTTGAATCTAAGTTGAAATCTTAATGGGTTTGTAACTGTGCACTGTGTTAGAGGGGTTGGAGGTGTTAAATATGTATGGCAAAGCTAGAAGATGAAGGAAAAAGAGGGGATATCACTATGTACAAAACAGTAACAGGTGTCGACAAAATTGACAAAGAAGAATACACTGTACAATGGTACCTTGGTTTTCGAATGCCCATCTTTTCAAATTTTTCGGTTCTTGAGTTCAATTTCTTTGAAAAATGTGACTTGGTATTTGAGGTTTGCCTTAGTGCTAGAGTTTGTTGATACACGTATGGGCCGACCGAGAATGTGGTGTGCTTCAGTTTATTAGTGTCTCCTGCCTAGTGACGACCACGCTTGAATTCTTTGTGAAGAATTTCACTGTTTTTGTGCTTTTTTGGTTGAACATAATAGTTGTTATTATATATCACACCATGGGTTCCAAGAAAGTCAGTGGTAAAGTTCAACCTAAGAAAATAGTTGTCAGGATGACGATAGAGGAAAAACATGTGGTAATTCATAGTGAGACAATGTGATGTCTCACTACAGACAAGTGTTAAAACATGGGGAAAAACACGTGTCTAGACAGATTCTTAGTAAGAGAAGCAAGCAGTAAGCCACAACCAGGTCCTAGTTGTATGCCTGCAAAATGCAAGAGAAAGATGTCATCACTGCTGTTATAATGGAAGGGTTCTCTCCTTCCAAACACTAACACCTCTCCTCCTCCCCCCCATTCCTCACCGTCTTCCATACGCTAACAAGAGTCCTCAATAAAGGTAAGATATACCTGCACATAGTGTAGTACAAAATATGAGTTGTATGTATGTATAAAATGTATTTTTAAGTTAATATTTTTGGGGGTGTGGATCGGATTAATTTAATTTACATTATTTTTTATGGAAAAATTAATTTTGGTTTTCGAACCGTCTCCGGAAACAGATTAAATTCTAAAACGAAAGTACCACTGTACTTGAAAATGCAAATTCAAGGACAGGTCATAGATTCAAACTAGGGAAACAAAGTTGCAAAAAAAACAAAATAAAGTTAGAAAGTTCACTTTTGCTAACTGGGTGGTAGATGGTTTGAACAAGTGACAAAGTAGAGAAGGCCAGAACCATCAGTACTGCAACTTCAAAGCGACATGTGAAAAATTACCAGGAGGACAGGTCATCATGAGTGTAGCTCTCATCCTGTAACTACATTTAGATAATTACACTTTTCTATGTTATTCCCAAATGCTCCCACACAGTACTTTATAATTATATCATTCACAAACACACAACATTTTTTATGCAATCTTTCATAGCAGATTCTCCCAGCAATCTGTGCTATCCTTCTTAACAACAAAAAATTGTAAAATTTGCCTTGGCTCTCTTGCTAGCTATTCAATATGATGTTGATCAGTATGTATCAGTAAATGAATAGAAAAAGTTATAATACAAAGTTATTTCATGTATTTAAAGAACTACTGTATTTTAAATATTTGGAAATGAATAAACATTTCAATCATATCCTGGATAACTTGGAAGTCTAAAGTATTTACATTTAATTCACTGGTGTTTAAGAAAACCCACAAATTATTGCATTCTGACAAGTTTTCAAAGTGGAATACATTAGGTGATATACTGCACTCCTTGGTAATTATGAAGCCCTGTAATCAAAGCAGAAGCAATGATATGCAACACTGTTTACATGGCAAATGATGTTCACAGTTACTAACTTCTGCTATCCACTCCTGAATGTTGCAGAGTGAAATACAAATATTATAAACATTGTATACAGAGAATCAATAGCTGTAATGATTATTTTGGGGTGAAGAATTTCAATTTCATTAATTTGTATATTATAATCAAACTCAAATTCTCACTATATTGTATAACTTTGGAATGACACATTCTATACCATAATTTGTTATAGGTTATTACAAATTTAAGTTTAGACTATCTAAGAATATACAATAAACTTTTCTTTCTTGAATGTAATAAAAATACATTTAATTGCATATGCTTAACAAAACATAAAATTATTACTGTACTTACACTTCCTACTGCAAGAGAGTATACAATTATCAAGAAATGAACTCTTTAATAAAAAGTGATAAAGCAAGAGATGATAATACTGATGATGAGATAAATTGGCATTAAGAAATATATCCTCCTATAAGCCGGTAAACTAATGTACAGTACTCACAATTTTATATAACATACAGTACAATGTACAGTATATTAAAATTTAAGAAATGGCCTCAAAGAGGTGATATTCATTATTTCTTATTAGGGATCAATGATGCTATTTGCCTGCATCTTGATATTTTTTGACACTCAAAAATTAATTTAAATAAATAAAGTCATAGGAGAATTTATTTTCAATATTCTAACAGGGTAACCATCTCAAAAGTCTAAAAAATAAAAACTCACATTAGCTTAAATAAAAATATTTATACAGTATACCATATATCTATATCTATTAATATTATGTTCCTTGGTGAGATGTAACTTCCTTGAGGGGGGGTTAACTTTACAGAAGCTTTTCCATATGTTTCAACTATCTTGAAGTATGTATTTACAAACTTAGAGAAAGCATTTAGAATTCTAGCCAAATTCTAAAAGCTGAATTGCTGGTGATAATTATGGAACAATTGCTCTTTACGTGTACTGAGAAATGCCAATATAAGACAAAGGACAGAAGGTTTAAGGGTGGAAATTTATAGAACATTAAGGACGATGGAGAAAGCATTAGTGAACCAAACAGTATTACTGTATATGTATTATTTCTATACAGTACTAAAAAAGCTAGAGTACAAAAGGAACATTTGGCAAGTACGTATGTTTTTATCAGTTGTTGAAAGCCAAAACAAAAAAAAATCCAAACCCAACTATACTTTATAAACTTCAGCCCCTGACAATATACAACACTTATTTAAATACCCAACTACAGTACTAAACATATACAGTATACAAGTATTTCATACAAATGGGTATGAATGGTGCATATTTAAGACTACAATAATACAATCCCAGATCTTGAACTCTTCCTTAAATGTTGCAATAAACCCTATGAACATCACACAAGAATAAAGTATCTCCTTTGATGTTTCTCTCGTAATGCTCAAACTCTATGCTGAAACTCGGTGTAAATAAAATGGCTACAATTACAGAAAAATCTACAACAGATATAAAATACTGTACTACACTGAACTTAATAAATTAAAAGTTAAGTTAAAGTCACTATTTGTAAATTCATAACAAATTGTGGAATATATTGCTAAATTTTTCTAAACTTTATGTACCATTAAGTTGCTCCAATGTGCAGGTCTTCTTGTTACCATAGTTAGGACAGGTCGATAGTTTATATTGGTACATGTATCTGTCCAAATGTCCCTGACAAAGTCTTACTAGGTCCAATGAAGACACTGGAAAATTCTCAATCTGGCCTGAATTGGCCTTGATTAAACTCTTTCACTTATACTCAAAGCCTTTCAAAGCTGTACTCAGAATCAGAGAAACTGCCACAGATTGTTCTGCTAGGAAGTAGTTAGCCTACTGGCCATTATCCCAAATTGCCACAAGATGTCAGACCTACATGTGAAGAGGGTACCCAGACACTTCCCACCTTAAACTTCATATGACTGTTCCCATATGCACTTCAGGTTGGCAGTGATCAAAACAATTCAGTTAAGTGACTTGTGTTCTGTCCATAAAAATCTTTGTTTCATTGTTCAAGGCTCCTGGTATTTGTGAACATTTTTTATGTTCAGGTGTACACAGCTACAGTACTGCATTTCTCTGGATTATATTACCACCAGCATTACAGAGTTATCTTTTCAGCACTGGTTTGGTTTTTGTCTCAATAGTCAGTATCCACTTCTTATTTCTTCCATTTCTATTGTAAGCCCTTTAATTAAACTTTGTTGCATTGATAAACAAAATTTGGCTAATTTGCATGTGACTTTTAAAGCAACCTTGAGGGTATAAATGTTTAAATGATCATATAAAAATTTACATTATCACCCATTAATGAGGAGTTAACAAACAAGAGGGTGGATGGTTTTGGACAGAAATTACAGTGGATTGCAAGAAGTTCTACAAAAGATTACTTAAATCTTAGAGAGCTATAAGGCACCACAATTACTATGGGCTGCTCCAATGCCCAAACTTTAGGGCCCTGAGACTTTCTCACCCTACTGGGAGTCAAGAGTAAAATCTACCCACTTATGAGGTAAGGGGAGTATGTGGGGATCAAAGATCAACCCACTATCAAAGTAAACTGTCCAGAAAGTTGAAAGCTATTACCCTGTACAAAATAACTACAGGTAACATATCTATAAAACTAGATGGAGACAGTCAAATAATTCAACTGATAACTGGAACAGTTATCCAACTGATAAGTGGAACAGTTATCCAACTGATAACAAACAGTTATCCAACTGATAACTGGAACAAAACAATGCTTGTCTAACTCTCTCAGCCACCACTCAGTAGGAGCCCAAATCTGATCACCCAGATGCAATCAGGCGAGGAAATGAGGACTGTGTTAGTAGGGACCAACGGGTGACATCAGGTGATATGGGCTGCCACCTGGTAGCAGGTAGTCACAATTGGATTATATGTTTACATAGTGGCACCAATTGTTGCTCCATTACCTACTGGTAGTTACTTTTTTGTCTTGCAGTTGCTTGTTTTCTTGTGCCTATGCTTTTTGGTGGGTGTTTCTCTTAGTTTTGAGGTTGATTTTTGATCCCCCAAATCCCTGTGCCTCTTTGAGGGGAACCAGATTATTTTCCTGATGCTGGATAGGTTAGAGGGGTCTCAAAGACCTGGTGTAATTACTCTAAGGCATGGGTCGACCAGTGCTTAGCTTTGGGAAGCCATTGAAGGCTTCTCTCCCAGAAATAGCTTGTTTACTTCAGTGGAAGTAATAAGCAGCTGGTTCTACAACATCCTGTCCTCTCGAATAATATATCGTATTTTGACATTAAAATCTCTAATGACAAACTATGATGTATGTGTACTGTATTATAATTTGTTATCTGTTAGATTAAGGACCTGCCCAAAATGCTATGCATGCTAGTGGCTTTACAAGAATGTAAAATCTTCATTGCTATGTACTTTCTTAAACCCAATGTACCTTCTTGTATATAAATAAATAAATATATAAATAAATAAACAAATAAATATAAATCATCACGGCTGGCAAAATTGACAGGGTGTTACGTTTACTGTCTGTGGGTCCACTGGTTAGAATTGGATCGGGCAATTCAGTATATAATTTTTATGACTTAGCAACTCAAAAGAACAGGCTATTCATAAGACCCTTATGTCAAAATGCATTAAATTTAACTCGTTAAATTTGGTGAATAAAATGTTAAGGTATTCTTGCTTTTGGACAGTGTTCCCAACCATCATACCACTGTCAAGAGTAAGGCTCCAGGATCATAGCATTGTACTCGCCTACAAAATGCTTTATTCTAGGAAGTACTATGAAGAAGTCATAGCACTGAAATACAGTGATAAGAATAAAGAAGACACAAACACAAAAAGAATAATTAAAAACTTAAAAGCCTTCAACATTAAATCTGCACTATTCAACTGGATAAGATCTTAAGAGATGAAAGACAATACCATTTTTAACTGTTGAAAAAATACATTGAGGAATAGTAAGGTCTAGCTAGAAGTTTAGGTTATTGAGCCAGTTGACTACTCTACCTATTTTAGTGACTAATTCAAGTTGTGGTAAGAAAATTAATGAAATGTAGGAATGTTATTTTAAAATACATAGGTCTGAATGGGTTAACACTTTATAATCTCTTGAGTGGCAAAATAATTATATGAATTATAATTAGTGAGAGAAAATTTATACAACTTAAAAGATCAATTAAGGTATCTATTATTATGATAAATTTATTCATAAAGTTAAAAATATGATTTTAGTTATTCATTTGTACTGCATATATCATAAATTGTTATGTTTTACACCACAGCTGTTTGAAAATGGGTGGGTTTAGTGAGTGGGATAAGAGCATAAGTTTTTACCCATGACCATGTGTCTGTCCACTATAAATGTGTGTACAAACAAAGGCTTACATCACCTTTAGAAACCTTTCTAATTTAGAGTTTCCAAAATATTAATAAACTCTCTTGCAAGCTTCTTATAATGCCACCAGCACAGATACTGTTAAGAATACTTACTCTTAGTGATGCTCTTCTCTTGTCTTTTTCACCCTTTTCTAGACCAGTGCCATAGCTTCGGGAGAATGACCGTCCTAGACTTCCTCCAGCAGCTAATTTCTCCTGCCGGCGGCGCTCCATTTTTGCATATCGAGCTTGCTCATCAAGCTGTTGTCTGCAGGATTGATTTACAAAAATACTAACACATGAAAATGGGAGTACAGTAGACCAATTACCTTTTTTATCCATAAAAGCATTTTTAAGGAAAAATTGCTCTTTCTTGTCTAATATTTACATTGCCATATGTACAAAATATAGAGCACTGACTGTATTGAAACACCACTTTTCACCTCAGTGGCTCCCAAGAGCTTATAGCACTAGTTTCTCAGGGACATCTCTCTAGTCAGACTCCTGTGACTCTTTGCCTACTGGAGGCCACAAACTGAATCTGGCTTCCTCAAAGATCATAGATTGACCCACAACAAAAGTAAACTGCCAAAAATATTGAAAGCATAACAAAAGAAACCATTGCTCTAAAAAATAAAAAAATAAAAAATAAATAAATAAATAAGGCCAAATAATGGTTGGCAATGGGTAAGTAATCGTTTCCTCAACTCCCCAGATATTACCAGATGGGCAGCCCTGGTTACCCAGGATCCCCGCCAACTCCAACACTTACGACCCACCTCTGCCATTGACCCCAATCCCATGAGGAAGAAGAGGACAACGTGGATGGAGTGGGAAGCTACTGAGGTGTTACAAAAAACATGGCATTTCACTACACTCAATGCTTTATCTCTGTGCTGGCCCCCTTAGTAGCTCCTCGGAGCTTAATCATGTTAGAGCCTCACAGAAGAGAAAGGTTTTCTGAAAAGGAACACAATATTCCCCCCCCCCCCATCTCAACAGGCATCAAACCTTCAAACCACCAAACCCCTCCAAGTGATGTTTGCAATCACTTGTGATACCATAGCCACCACTGTCTGTAGTCACTTGTGATGCCATGGACACCACTGTCTGTTTGTGGTCATTTGTGATGCCAAGAAAAGGCTTGCAAAGACTTTGAGTTTTCATGAATAAACCTCTGTAGTCATTTTGGATTTAGGTGTTAGTGATTTAGGTAGCACCTAAAATGACCATACAAAGATGCTAGGACTTTCAGGGGCAACAATGCAAGAATGTCATCTGATTGTCAATGATCTTTGTCACATGACCCAATGGATGTTACCTTAGCGGGCAACTGAATGTGATACAGTAGCTCCAAAATTTAATATGAATTTAATTTTATGAAATAAATTATGTACAAATTTTTGTATCTTTAATGTATAAAACAAGTCTGCCTTTCATACCTTGCAGGATTCACAAGGCTCTCCAGTTCTGTAGCCAGGTGTCTCCGGATTATATTTTTAGACTGAGGGATTCCTAGGGCTGTGGCCATTGTGTCTGAAGTGAAAGAGGATTCCAGGACCACTAGAGCACCATGGACACCACTGTCTGTCAACAGAAAAAGATACACAAATATTTTACAACTGTTCTGATAAGTAAGCATATGAGTCCAACATCAAACCTTACTATGTATACAATTAAAGATACCTGTGTTCGAAAACATTATCTATAATCAAGTGTAATCTTATATAGTTAAGCATATTGTCCAAAGTCAAACCCAGTTTTCTTTATATCTGCATAAGTGCAAATTATATCATATTCTAAATGCTAAATTATAAATTCTGTGTACAATTGTTCAAACAGACTAAATGAGAATAAACCCTTTCCATTCCATCCCAAGTTTTGTTGCATTTAGCATTAGCACAAGCCACCTTTCAAAAAAACAAAAACTGGCACGTTAGAGTCATAGGAGATATGCCACAGTTCTGTGACCATCTTTACCTACTGGAAGCAAGTACCATTGTCAGAACTGAGGTGATATATGCTTAAAATCTAAAGTGCCACAAAACAACCTAAAACTATCCCCAAGAATGTTTGGCAATTATAATCAAGTGTTGATTATAATGAAATGAAGTAGCCCCTGAAGTAGCTCCCCAAACTTAAGTGCTGATGCTCCCAAGCCTTAGCAAATTGTACCAGACCTCCAAGAACCACCCTTGTCTCAAGAAACAGGACCCTACTCAGGAAACGGAACTCTGACTCAGTATTCATGCTCTACATTCCTAGATTAAGGCATCATTTACAGCTTTCACTGCTGGATGTGGTGCATGTCATCTGCCTCTTATACTATTACTTATTTCTAGATTCATACTCTACATTTCTAGATTTTGGCATCATTTGTGGCTTTCTCTGCAGTATGTGGTGCATTTCACCTGCCTCTCGGTTAGTCTCCCAACCCACCACCACTACGGACAGCTTCATTTTGGTTGAGGCTTGTGCGTCTATAAGGGTTGAAGGTGGTGGCACTGGAGGATTGCCTCAGAGGAGGATTAGTGTCTGCCAAGCCTCTTTTGATAACAGTGTTCCTTTGGGACTACATTGACACAGATGCTGAGAGGGCAGGAATCTGCAGCACTTGGGTCTCCTGCTCCATTGAGGTAAGGGGTGGACTCCAACCCAAGCCCCTCGCTATCAATAGAGAGGGCTCTCAGCCTTTAGGTGGGTGGTGAGTAGGGCCTTTGGTTGCCATCTGCCCCTTGCTAAGGTATGGTATCCACGTTGGTGAGCATCTGTCTCCTGGTGGCAGATATTGTATACAGTATCCACCTTTCTTGTTCAGGCTTCTTCCCTCCTCAGATCATTTTCAGGTTACTTTTAGTTTGCTGGTGAGACTTTTCATTGCTCATATATGTCAATTTCAGACTACATGTCTGACTTAGAGACTGGTTTAGTTGCCTTCGGGTCCTCTGCTGCTTTCTGGTAACAGTAACCATGTCCTTTCCACTCAGTCTGGAGACTTCTTCCACTACAGGTAACATTATGGATTTCACTCTGGGCACTTCGGGCTCCTGTATAACTTCCACAAAAAATATTGAAATAAAAATAACAAAGATGAGGAAACTCACCCTTAAGGTTATCTGCATACTCAGCAAGGTCTATCGATCTTGCCCATCGTACCCACCGCATATTTGTCCACACAACTGGATCAGCATCAATGACATCACACTGACGACGACGCTCTGCTAATACCTGTTCAGTTTTGTTGTTGAACAAATATAAGCTACTGGTACTTGAAATAAATCTTTATACAGTATATAAAATTATTAAATAAGCAAATTACCAATACTCTGAGATATTAAACAGAATCTTTACAAGCTTCTACATTATAATAATAATAGCTCTGGCTTTATAGGGAATATGATAAATGATCATAAAATTAAACTATAGTACAGTAAAACAATAAATTCCTTATATGAGAGTCTTGAAGAAATTAAATTATACAAATAAAAACTAATGTATTATCAATTTAAGTTAAAATTAGTAAATTTACAGCCGCTTACCGTATAATACCCACCTGTACCAAATCTAGCAATTACATTATACAATACATATAATGTTCACCTGTCTGTCAAATCTAACAATTACAGTATAACAGTATAATGCTCACCTGTCTGTCAAATCTAACAATTCTTAAAAGATGTACTCCATGGATTATTGAAGCTTGGTGGAACTTGCGATGAACACCTAGATGCTTCTCCAACTCTTTTTTCGTAAGAGCCTCCAGAAGCCGACCATCTACTAGGTTGTTGGCAAAGGCATCACAGTAATGTGGAAGGCCCAAGTCTGGTAGCCACTCGGAGGAAACCCACGTGTGTCCCAGTGCAGATATGCGAGGAAAACGAGATAAGCGAGGTTCACGAAGTTCTTCAATGGCTAACCGAAGCTTCTTGCGGTGCATTGGGTGAGTGATACCTAGGCCTGCTTCTAATTCTGAGTCACTGAGTTCTAGAAGAACCTTAACACAAAGTAAAGATAAAAATAATGACAAGAAATATAAATGCTACAAATTTTATCCACAAATATTAGAAACAAAAAAAATCAAATCAACAAGATAAATAACTACTGTATAAGGCAAAAGACTTAAATCTTAAAATGTTCATAGTTCATTTACCTTTCCACTTCGAACATTCTCAGCACACATGGCACCATACTGAGGCATGCCCAGAGTAACTTCCAGCCAAGCTAGAACAGTTGGAGCTTTCCATCTCTCCAATGGAATGTGTTGTGCCTCTTCTAAAAGTCTAAGTTTCTCAGAGTAACTTTCTTCAGTTAAGGGTGAGGCACACAAGGATGAACTTGGAGACCAGGAGGCACGCTTGTCACTCCCATTACCTAAATGCCATGTTAGTAACACTTTTGTTAGTTGTATAAAGTCCTGATTTTTTTTTTTTTTTTGCAAATAACTCCAACTCAAGAGTTTCTAAGGGACTATCTATTAGTTCGGTTATGTAAAATAAATGTATACATGCTTAATACAGTACAGGCAAACATTAAAAAATTAAATAATATTAGATTCACTGTACAAGAGTGAATATAATTGGTAAATATACAATCAATGGATCTAGTTTACCTAAAAGTACAGCATCTTCAGCAGGATATCATTAATATAGGTAAGTTAGAAGAGATATTGCTAATTGGAAATTGCCTTTAATATTTTAAGAGCATTACTGAAGTCATTCCACACATCAAACCTCTAAGAAATGCTACATTTTAGTAACGTATGGACAGTTGTTAAGACAGTGAGAGCTTATTAGTGTGAGCTATGGCTCCTTGGCCTCCACATGGTTGAGAGCGGAAGGAAGGTCTTCAGAGCTTGATACCCCTACAATCAACCAAAAATGCCTTATGATACATTATACATCTACAATTCATATTGGTTTATTTTTAACATTACAGTACTGTATTATGAATCTTAAATAATTTTCTGGGTGAATATATAAATTAGCCTACATCTGTTGCAACTAACATGGAGGAGGCTTCAGTTATCTGCAGTGTTCATGCTATGCAATATGAATGCAAAATATAAAGAAAAAAGGTATCCTCGAGAGATTGTCTAAATATGGTAACATTTAGTGAGAAATTTTCATATGATACTTAATAGCTTTAAAAAAATAAGAATTTTACACTGTAAATAAAAATTGTATCGCAGTTGACAAAATATATTTTAATACAGTATTGAAAGTTCAATTTCAATGCTAATCATTATTATAAAAGTATTCAATGTTCGTGGAATTTGAGAGAGTAAGAACTTAGTTTTAATTAAGATACTGCTAACAGATTTACAATACGAAAAAGACAATATAATTTTTGGTTTATCTTACCATCATACAATGAAGCATCAAGAGCTGCACGCTTCTTCTGTCTGGCAAATACTCTTGAGATAGACCCCCAGGTACTTCCACCCTTATGACTCTTGCGGGTAAGGGTACTTGTACCTCGAGCTTTAGAAGAGTCAGCTGCCTCACTCAACCTCTCACACAACTGCTCGGCTGAACGACTCAGCCCTCCTGCATTTGCACTACTGTGAATTAAAAAAAATATATAAAGCTTCTTTTGTACTGTAATTATATTCATACTATACCTCAAGATCTTAAAATCATCAATGAATGGGATAAAGTAGTGAAACAGTTCTCAGGTTGTATGAGCCATCATTTGTCAGGCTTATGACCTGTGAGGGGGGACAAGAACCAGCCCCAGACATCACCCATGTGAATACATAAGCCTAGGCCAGTTACAGAGAAAGGGAGGGGTAGGGCAGAGGTTCACTGGTGCCAGAGGGTGGAGATGAACACCCTTTCATCTCCATGGCAACCTTAGGGGAATTGGGCTGTGATTACTTGGTCTAGGATGTTTTGAGAAGCCTTATTCCACAGAGGATTTGGGGAGAGAAATATTAAGTGTGCGCTGAGTGGGGATAGGACTGGTTGTCTGGGTAGTTGGAGAGAGTATCCTCGTGTCTGGTATATCAGAATATGTAAGCAGTCTATTCTTGGTTCAGATTCATTGACATATATATATATTCCTTGCCTTGTTAGGAACTTGATTAGGTTGCCACATTGCTTAAATAACAATTGATATTATTAAATTAAAGTATTCTGTGTATTAATTGACAACCTCTTTTGTCAATTAATTGACAACCTCTACTAGTATGCTTTCTAGTTAAGTCAGTTCAATTGTCATTCCCTTTTCTTATTGCCTGGTTTAATTGATGTCAATCATCCTCCTTGAATTTTATCACTGAATGATGAAGTGTTACTAAGATAGCCAACATCTGAATGAGTTTCTAAGGACTAGAGGTGAGGTGGTGTCTCCCCTTCGCTTGAAGGTAAGGTGTGATGTGACAAACTTTGCAAGTGTTAACATATATGGAAATACGAATACTTATGGTCGTAAGACCGTGTCATCCAGCTTATGGGAAAGATGGACAATAGTAAGAATGAACAAATCCACAAGGGCTGTGATGAGGATTCGAACCTACGTCCGAGATCATACCAGACGCTGCCTTTATCGACTGAGCTACGACATGGTAAAAGAGTTGAAACCAAAGTTCTAATGAACTTACTGGATCCCGCAGCCTCTCCGAGACACAAACCAGGGTTTTACATAACTCCCCCATGCACTTGAGCTATGTCAATAGGCCGTTCTCCCTCTTCGCCCTTACTTCATTACACACAGAAAACATAATAGCGTGATGCATCAAATGAACAAATCCACAAGAGCCGTGATGAGGATTCGAATCTACGTCCAAGATCATCCCAGACACTGCCTTTATCGACTGAGCTACGACATGGTATCTTGTGGATTTGTTCATTTGATGCATCACGTTATTGTGATTTCTGTGACAATTCAATTTAATTTAATTGTTTTTCATATTACTGATAAGTATTTTGATTCATAAATGCAGTATTTGTCACCATCATCCTTATCTTATTTCCCCATGTTCATTGGGCAGGGAGGCAACAGCCAACAAGAAAATAGGAGAATAGTGTAGGAAAAAAAGGTTCAAGATATTAAAAAACAAACTCGTCCATTTCTTATAGTGTGACCAGGATGGGACGGAAATGGTTGGGAGCATTACTTATCACCCACTGTAAGTAGGTTGCCAGGAATTAGTCAGCTTGTTGTGGGGTTGCATCCTGGGCGAGGTAAGTAATTTGATACACTCTGGCTGCCTTATTCCAGAGTGTATTCCTTATTCCCTGACACAATGAATTAATTATTATATAATAACTAGCATCATAACTATCATCCACAGCAGTACCTTACAGCTTAACTCATGCAAGGGGTAAGAGATTCAAGCTCAACAAGCTACACTGTAGCAGGGCAGATAAAAGGAAATTCCACACAGAAATCACAATAATGTGATGCACCAAATGAACAAATCCACAATGGAATTTGCTCAGTCGTAGCTCAGTCGATTAAGGCAGCGTCTGGGATGCTCTTGGACGCAGGTTCGAATCCTCGTCATGGCCCTTGTGGATTTGCTCATTTAAAAGGAGATGTTTGTTCACCCACAGGTGGGATGACCTGTTGAACAGCTACAGCCCACAACCACTGCTTGTGGGGGAAAAATACACACATACATACATACATTCGTACATACCTTCACACATACATACCTTCATACATACATACATATATATAGTGTATATATACTGTATGTACAGTAGTATGTAATAGCCAGAACTGCACTACTTGCTCTAGTATGTAAGGAATGATTTGCCTAACAAGCAAAGGAATTTTGTTATTTTCAAATAATTCTTTTCAATTTGGTTTATTCCACTTAATATTAGTACAGTATTATATATTATACTGTATATAGAACATGAATTACTGACTTTGTTATGTCAGGTTAGGATAGGTTTGATCAAATTTCTATGTTAGTTTTAACTGAAATTAAAAAACTTTTAATTACTGTACAGTATATTTAATATAATGGCAAGCTCTATAATTTCATAGGAAAAAATTTGAAAATACAGTATATAATTTCACAAAAACTTGGCTTGTTAGAAAACTTAGCCTATTAGGTACAACATACATATATGAGGAGAATCTGCAAAGTTTTCTCTGAATACCCTCTTTATTCTTCATGCCACAATTTTTGTGATACATAAGACTTTTGTTTATCTTTCCAGGAGTGGCCAACATCCTTACTCTGTGTAAGTTTATGCTGTGAATGAACAAGTGTATTTTATATAAATCTGTCCTTTTATAAAAATGTAACTCAAAAGCAGTTAGGTGAAACATGTAGGTCAGCCCCACAAATAAGAAATACCTCTAGCAGACTGAAAACATACGTTACAAGCCTACCTGTTTGCAAGTCCACATACAGCAGGAGAATTAATACTAGCAGCTGTGGGAGTTGATGCACTAGTGGGAGTATTGTCCCCACTCTGTTCCTCCCGTTTTAAGCAAACTGGTGTGGCATAAAGAGGGGAGAGAGAAGGTGACTCCTTGGGGGTTCCTGCTCCACCTACACAGTTGGGTAGCAAACATCAATAAATTAACATTTTATATTTGCAGATACAGTACAACAGGTAATATATAGGTCATCTACATGTTCATAGTACAATATCTTAAGATAAGATATTTATTCAGGTAAAGGTACATACATTGAAAATGAGTTACAAACATATTGTTGGATTAATAGATAAGAGCTAGTACATAGAAGCCACTAATACACATAGCGTTTCGGGCAATTTTGTATATATATTGCAACATACCAAGATATTCTAGAAGGAAGCATACAAATTATTACTGCACTGCTTAGTAGCATTCTGTAAAGGTCCAGCAATTCATATAAATGGAGGAAAATGTAAGAAATGTAAGTTACAAAGCATTTATGAACTCCAGTGAGATAAACTTGTATTCAAGATGCAACAACATGGGAGATTTTAACCAGAATCTGTCTCTTCCTAAGCCATCCAACTGTGTATTTCTCTAATAGGATTTGAAATTCTACATATGTATTATGAGTAAGTCTGCATATCTTGTTGGGAATAAGCATAAGAGAGGAGTACATTTCATATGCATACAAGCTGGGGATTTACATTTATTCTAGAAAGTATAATGAGGTTTAAAATAAATTGATATGTACATATTTAATAAATTATACATACTGTAATTGCAAATACATACAGTACTCAGTCTCTGGGTCGTTCATGTCAAAACTAAACCTGCTCATAGCATGCCGGCTTCCTGTCCTTGTCGAGGCCACTAGTGGTAGTGGCCCTTAGGTAAATCAGGTAAATGCAAGACTTTCATTAAAGTGCAATACTTAGTTTTGTTCTGAAATCTATCTTCATGTGAGATCTTTACTTATGAAAGAGTTATGTTTAATGTACTCTCCAAAGACATTCTGATACAGCACTGCAATAAATGTTGGCATTTTAAGTTCCTGGACAATATTTGGTTAAATCTTAAGACTAATAAAAGAAGCAGAATAGTATGGAATGAACATATACGCACACAGACACAAACCATTACAGTACTCTACTAGTGAAGCTGAGAAATGCAGTCTGTAACAAAAGCTACATTAAAGTGCACATGAAATGAAAGTAATGCATACATAGTGAGATAAAAAGATTTTGTACTGGATAATTTACCCAAACAGTAACTGACCAGTTTCAAGCTTTTCTACTTTTACACCCCAGTTTTCTACTTTTTATTATTGTTTGCTTCTCCCAGGCCCACATAGCACACAATAATGCCTAATTCTATGTTCTAATACTTTTTTTAATCTTGGACACCTAACCCATAAATCTGAAAATATGAGAATTGACGTCGTTTTGGTCTATCCTGAACCATTATCAAATTGTGGAATAAAAAAGACTGGTGAAGAAAGTCTATCTATCTACATGTTCTCCCAACCTGCTTGTTCATTGGCCTTTCTGCCTGCTTGCCTGCTCATCAGTTCGTTCATCCACCTACCTGCCTGCTTGACAGATTCACCCAGCTCGTTTGTCAATATACTTTGCTTTATCACCCACCCACTCCTGTATTTAATTAATATTGCATTTATTGTATCCTTGCAATAATTCATTCTACTGTAGTTACATTACATGTTTTTTTGTCAAAGACACTTCATCTCACCGTTATAGACATTTCTTTGTGTTACAGCAAAATGATCAATATCATCAACACATTTTAATACAAAGCTAATTTACCATTTTGTTCAATAACATACTGTAATATGCAACATGAATTTTTGTTTTACAGTATAAATACTTTATTGTTTTATTTGTTTTTGTAAGTATTTTTTTTTATCTTGAAACACGTTAAAAACGTTTCCATAAAAAAACTTACACAGGGTGTTGGGGACTGAATACTTTTGTAGGATAAGGAGCGGAGTCTAGAATAGGCTCTTCAGATACCCTGTACTGTCTCATGGAGTTTGTGGTGACTGTTTCACTGGTGATTTCAGACAACAACAAAAATCTACACACTTTTGCTACCTCTTAATCTTTAAAAGGACTATAAATATACAATACTGTGTATGTATGCAAATATAGTTCTGGTAGTACAGTCTCGTACCCAAGACTCATAATCATGAATTCCAGGTTCACATCTCAGTCAAGACAGAAATACAGTAGTTGGGCATGTTTTCTATCACCTAATGCCACTGTTCACTCTGCAATAAATAGGTATCCAGTCAGCTTGTTGTGGGGCTGCATCCTGGGGAGGGTCATTAATTCGGCCCAAGGGAGGGTGGGAACCTTAATATAAGCCTAACAAGTATATATATACACTGGCTGCCTGTCCCATGAGACAAAGGATTATATATATGCTGTATATATTTAAATATACATACACACACACCTATACGAGATAATGTCTGTCTGTACAAAGTTGGAGGCCAGATGCTTAGGTTGAGCTTCACTCAACTTGATAAAGGGAATGGTCTAGGGTACACGATGAACATAGGCTGGTTGGGATCACTAGAATTCAATAGGGAACAGTGAGACAGAGACAGAGAGAGGCATAAACAGACAGAGACAGACTGACATCTGTTATATGAGTGGACAGATGGATGGATGGATGGATGGATGGATGGATGGATGGATGGATGGATGGATGGATGGATGGATGGATGGATGGAATGATAGATGGATAGATGTATGGATAGAGAAGGATAGAGATGGATAAATGGATAGATAGATGAGTAGACAGACAGAAAGATAAGTGGATTGATAGCCAGATGGATGGATGGATATACAGATGGATGGATAGTTGAGTAGATGGATGGATGGATAGAAGAATAGATGGATGGATAGATGAGTAGATAGATGGACATATAGAAAGATAGATGGATGAATAAATGTATGGTCAAATAGATGGACTGATAGATGTATGGATAGACAGATGGATGGATGTATAGACAGATGGATGGATAGTTTAGTAGATGAATGGCTAGTTGAGTAGATGGGTGGATAGATAGATGAGTAGATGGATGGATAGATGAGTAGATAGATGAGTAGATGGATGGATAGATGAGTAGATAGATGGATGGATAGAAAGATAGATGGAAAAATAAATGTATGGTCAGATGGAAGATGGATGGATAGGTAGATGGATAGATGTATGGACAGATGAACAGATAAATAGATGGACAGATGGATGGATGGATAGTTGAACAGATGGAGAGATAAATTGATAGATGAGTGGACAGTGGATAGATGAATGGATAGTTAGATAGATGGATAGATGAATTTTTATAATTTCTTACAATGTATTTTTATACAGTACTTTCTTACAATGTACCTGTAAAAATTTTTTTTAACTTTGCTAGAAATTGCCTTCTTAAAATTATATGTTAGATTAAGGATCTGCCCAAAACGCTATGCGTGCTAGTGGCTTTACAAGAATGTAAAACTTCAAGTCTCTGTACTCTCACAAACATAATGTACTGTCTTGTAAATAAATAAATAAATAAAATAAATGAATAGAGATGGATGGATGGATATATAGACAGAAGGGAGAAAGATAGACACACTATTTTATAATTTATTGAGTCTTCTGTGTGTGTAATTACCTAAGTGTAGTTACTGGATGAGAGTTACGCTTGTGGAGTCCCATCTTCCCAGTACTCTTTGTCATATAACGCTTTGAAACTACTTATGTTTTTGCCCTCCACCACCTTCTCACTTGTTTCAACCGTCTACCACTCTGTTTGCAAAAGAAAACTTTCTAATATTTTTTCAGCACCTTTGTTTCCTTAGCTTGAATTAGTGTCCTCTTGTTCTTGACTTTGCTAATTTTGGGAATTCCTCTTTGTCAATTTGGTGATTCCTGTTATTATTTTGTAAGTGGTGATCATATCCCCTCTTCTTCTTTTACCTTCTTGTTTTGGCATATTTAACGTCTCTAGCCTATCCTCGTAACTCTTGTTTTTCAGTTCCGGAAGTCATTTTGTAGCACGTCTTTGCACCTTTTCCAGTTTATTGATTTGCTTCTTGAGATATGGGCACCATATAACTGCTTCATACTTCAATTTTGGTATCACAAAAGTCATGAACAGTTTCTTTAGTATTTCTCCATCCATGTAATTAAAAGCAAGCCTGAAGTTGAAAAGCGACACATATGCTCCTCTCACATTGTTCTTTATGTACTCCTCTGATGACAGTTTACTATTCAAAACCACCCCAAGGTCTTGGTCTTTATTAGAGTTCTTTTATTCCTTTCCACATAATTTGTAATTTGTGTGTGATCTTTTTTCTCTGTTTCTACATTCCATAACATGACATTAATTTACATTGAAATCCACTTGTCACCAGATGCTACAAGCACTTATTTTATCTAGATAAATTTGAAGGGCATGATAATTGTCTGCATGTCCTGTCTTCCCCAGTATTTTCACATCATCTGCAAACATATTCATATAATTCTGAATTCCTTCTGGTAGATCGTTAATGTAGATGATGAACATTACTGGTGCAAGATGGATGGACCTGTGGTACCTGTGGTACTCAGCTAGTAACACTCCTCAAGTCAAATACACTGTCTCTGATTACCGTTCTCCTCTGTCTGTCAGTTTGAAAATTTGTCATCCATGTTAGAAATCTCCTCTGTCACCCCTCCAGCATGTTCCAGTTTACAAAACAGCCTCTTGTATGGGACTCTGTCTAAAGCCTTTTTCAAGTCCAGATAGCCACAGTCAACTAACCACCTTTTTCCTGCAGTATGTTTGTAGCTCTATCATAAAAACTAAGTAGATTTATTACACAGGATCTTCCTGTTCAAAAACCATAGTGTCCGTTATTGTGTCATTAATCTCAAGTGTTCAACCCATTTGGCTTTAACTATTGTTTCTAGTGTTTTGACCACCACGCCTGTTAATGATACTGGTCTATAATTTAGAAGTTCCTCTCATCTACCATTTATATAGATTAGTACAAAGTTCGCTTTTTTCCATATATCTGCTAAGGTTCCTGTGCACAAGGATTTCTAGAATATTAATTGGAGTGAATGCTCAAC